GACATGGACAGAGGAGGTGAGAGAACAGCAGAGACATGGACAGAGGATGCTTTTCTTCCAAGGAGGCTGATCATCCTTGCCCATCCCTCCAAGGAGGCAACAAAACCTCCACCATATTGCTGAGCAGTGGAACACACATGGTCTCTAGGAATTTCTCTGGTCTTTCCAGGACATGACCAATTAATAACCTTTAACCTTTTGATCTTAGAAGAAGAAACTGTTTTAAAATGGTGTGCTAAATGTTTGAAATATGGAAAGAGGATGTGTTTCTCAAACTTAAATTACAGTAAGCCCTACTCTAAAACTTCTAAGCCAACTGGCTTTGCACATCAAGCTATTAAGAAAGTATCGTAATTCCTTATGTACTTCTGTAGAACACACACAGAAATGCAGTCAACTGCATCCCAACTACACATCAGTGCTTTGAACACGCTACACAGTTACTTCATCTCTTAACTCTGCTTTTCAGCTATATATTAGGCTCATTAATTAGGTTTCCCAACTCATTTAACTAAATGAATTTAATTCTTCTAGAGGAAAATTCATTTCAATACACACCAACTGGGGAAACATGCAGAACCACCTCACTTTGATTACAGCTAACAAAATGTATGTTATACACTGTCCCCCCCCACATATACACACACACACATATATATATACATATATATATGTATACATATATATATGTGTATGTGTATCATTCTATCTACATATAGATAGACAGATATAGATGATAGACATATATACATATATACATACATACATACATACATACATAGATCGATGACAGCCAGACAAGTACACTTATGTCCTGACACTAGTTTATAGGGAATCAGGGCATATACAACCACATACATGTGGGAGTAGACAATGTCTTTTACACATTGCTTGCTTGCAATCCAGTTTAAAATCTTAAGTCATGTCATCTCCCCATGTCTTCATTTCAACAGGAAGGGAAGAAGAGAGAGTAAATTCTAATCTCCATATTTAAATGTCATATCTGAATAGCAGTGTATGACAGTTTGCCATGTTCATGGCCTGAATTTGTCCTTCAGCACCACAAAAACAAATACCGAATAAATTAATAAATACAAATAAGTAAATAAAACCTGAAAATCAAAATATGTAACTTTGACCTACATCCACATCTCTAAGGTTTGTTACACTATTTTATCAAACCTGAGTCTTGCTTGTGTTTAAACAGGACATATATATGATGCCACCTCTTGCAAACCTAACCTAAGGATTTGAAAGGCAAATACTGCTCTATTTTGACTAAGTGTCAAAGATACAGCATTCCTCATACATACAGCTTGGTCTTAAGAAGTTATATGCAATCTGCTTTTTACATTCCAATGCCAATCATGGAAAAAAGTTCCTACAGACAAACTTCATACATGACTCATGAAACATAACTTTGCAGGCCATGAAAAATAAATAAATAAATAAATGTTTCTAGGATGTAGGAGTCCCAGTTAATTTCTGTCAACTTGACACAAGCTAGAGTTATCTGAGAAGAGGGAACCTCAATTGAGAAAATGTCCCTATCAGACTGGTCTGTAGGCAAGCCTGTGGAGCAATGCCATGACTGGTAATTGACATAGGAGGGCCCAACCCACTGTGGGAGGTGCCATCCCTGAAAAGGAAGTGGTCCTGAGTTATATAAAAAGGCAGGCTTTGCAGGCCAGAAGGAGCAAACCAGTAAGCAGTACTTTCCTCCATGATGTCTGCTTCAGTTCCTACCTTGATTTCTCTTCATGATGGACTGTCACTGAGACATGTAAGATGAAATAAACCCTTTCCTCCCCAAGTTGTGTTTTACCACAGCAACAGAAGTCCAAGCTAAGACAATTAAAAAAAAAGACCAAGAAATAAGATAAATTCAACAAGTGTCTTACAGATTTGTCAGTCTTTAAAACTTCCTGTGTCGCTTACAGAAAAACTAGCAATAGAGTTCTTTCCTCTACTGTATAGCTTAATGTTTCACACACAAAGGAACCAACAGCTGGGCCTGATGGTAGATACCTGAAATCCCGACACTCACGAGACTGAGGCAGGAGGATAGAAAGCAGCTGGGCTACACAGCAAGACCCTGACTCAAAGAATGAGAGAAAGAGACCAGAGTCGCCACACTAGAGAAAAACAACAAGGAAATCTGTTTTCTGAACAGAAGGGCTACAAGACATAACTTCTTAAATACCCGACAAAGGGACCCATTCATATCCTAGGAGCTTGGTAGAGGTTTTAGTAAATGACTGTGACAGAATTCATATTTTGAGACCTTCCATAGCTTATAGTTAAAGTTTTCAAAAACAAATCTTAGTTTACTATATGGATAGAAACACAGAATGAGAAAGGAGATAGTGAGGGTTGGGGTAGGGTATAAGATTCAGCGGTGACAAGCACACCCACATGTTTATTACCTTCTTATTTAGCCAGTGCCAGAGCTGGAGGACAGGGAGGTGAGAGAAGATAAGAAGAGTGGGAGATCATTAGAGATGCACCAACAGCAGAGTCACTGAGAGCAGGAGGCGCTGTCAGGAGAGCTCAGCAACAAACAGCGCGTTACAGAGCTGTCACAGAACGCTGCTTTCTGATCAGGACAGCGGGAGGACGACTACACGATGTACTGTAACTCGCATTCCGCAGTCGGTATCCTCTCCAGCGCAGAGTCCTGCACAGTCAGCTCCACCTAACTGCTTATGCTCAGGACACTCTGCTGATACTTCCCCAAAGCTTCCCTTTCCTGCCACCAGGGCTACAGGGACATTTTCACTCAGTGCTCCTACTGTGTCAGACACTTCTCTGTAAACACTGAGTGACAGCTAGCACTCAATACATCAGACACAACCACATTGTGAGATAAGTGGTATTATGCTCATTTTATTGATAATGAAACCAAGGCACAGAGAAGTTACCCATCTGTCCAAGGTCACAGAGCTAGTAAATAACAGAAGTGGGACCTGAAAGCAGAGTGTGGATTTAGATTCCATTTCCCTTAACCACAAAGTTCTCAGGAACTATCATATCCTGGCATTAAGCTGCGCTTCTGTCTCTGGGGGTCCATGACTGGTTAAGTTTCCCTTTAACTTAGCATAGAATCTGACAAACAAGAATTACTCCAGAAACATTCCCCTCTGAGCCACCACCCCATTACCTAATCTTCTCTCCTTTATAAGAAAAATAACCACAATTTTGTCCTAATCCACTCTCTAATTCTAAGCCTCGAAGTTTCATGGAGGATCAGATATGAAGCACATTATCAATGTTATGAAACAGACTGCTCAAGCCACGGAACACAAACACCCCACTGGAGACACCCAATCAGACAATACCTTGCTATCAACTTTTAGTAAGAACTTTCCAAGCCCAATAATTGGCCAAGGTGCTAAGGCCTCCTGTCTCTCCTTCAGGAAGCACTCAATCACCTGCCACCATGCGCGGCAGCGGTTCTCCAGGAAGCCCACCACTCCAAAGTGGATCACGAGCTTTTTGATGATCCAGACTATAAAGAAGATACGAACACAAAGGACACAGATTTGAGAGGTAGAACATGAAAACATTCCCTAGCTTCCATTCTAAACAGTAATGCCAAGACTAAAACAAGATCATGGTAGAAGGGCTTACTATTCAGCCTACAAACATCATGAACTACAATAGCCTTCATTCCTGATTAAGGAAAACTGAGTCCCAACATTTACTGATTTCCTTGGCCATTATAGCTGCTCTTCCCCCGGTGGTGTTGTACCACAGCAGGCAGCATTTCCAACTGTGCTCCTGTTTCCTCATGTGATGTTGCTCTGAATAGAGGTCAGAGTTCAGCAGAAAGTCAGCTGTTAAAGCCAACCAGGAAGAGGTCAGAAGACGGGCTACTTACTTATTAATGAGGGTGGGCCTAGGTAATGATTTCTTTCCACTAAAACTTCTTTAACTCCTGGGACCAATACTCTTAACCTCAACTTTATAAGCTGCATGTCAGTATGGTG